AAACCAGTTTGAAATCGTTTGAAACAGGTCTCCACGCCACCCCCTACACGCCTACACCAAAGGAACAACCCCCGCCGGTAAACCATGTACCCTAAAGAACAAAAAGCAAAATGTCAACGCTATGCGCAGTGCTCCCCGCCCGGCAGCCCGGCGGCCTGGCAGGCACTGCAGTGGACGCCAGAGCGGCCGGCGCAGCCGCCGCTGACAGGCTCAGCCGTGAGCGGCGGCGGCCGGGCCCGCCGCCCGGCGCCGGCCGCCGGCCCCCCCCCGTCACAGTGCCACGGTCACCGGTTCCTCAGCTGTCTAAGTTACTCAAAGTTAAGTTAAAAATCCCGGCGAGTACGAGGACAACTTTTCACCAGGAGAGACGAGGCGGCTTGACCGTACCCTCGGACCGGACCGTGGGCCGCGTGACTGACAGCCTCCGAATGCTGTCCCCACAACTTCACTGGCCGTAACTGATACCTTCACTTAACTCACTGTGCGCGCAGGACTCCGACAATTCGGACTCCGGACTCCGAAGTCCCCCGCCCCCGGGCAAGTTCCCGGCCCCGACTCTCCGAGGGCCACTTGAAGTTCTTCGGCCCTGAGCCTCGGACGCTGGTGGCACTCAGTGACAGTGCCGGCCACGGCCCCGCCGGGCCGTCGTGACTACTGGCGACGGTCACAGTGGCCGCGGACGGCAGTGGGCCCGGGGGGGCCCGGGCCGGGCCCACACCGTCAGCCGCCCGGCACGCCCCGGGCCGCCCCGGGCCCCGTGACTCAGGGCCACGTGACGGTGAAAGTTGCCAGTTACAGGCTCCGAGTCCGATCTCAGCTGAGCGGTGGCCGCGATTGGACCGGCCTCTGACAGCGGCCTGTCAGTAGTATCCGGCGAAGGCTCACTGAGCGAGTTTCCAGTCTCTAATCCGACGTCCAACGGTACGGACCGACGCCGCCGTGGGCCTCGGGGAGTCTCGGCAGAGTCTCGGCCGCCGCCGCGCCGCGACTCCGCGCGGCGGCGAGGCCCGGCCCCCGGCCCGCCGGCGGTGGCCCGCCGGCGGCCTGCACTGCGGACAGGCGACCGTCACCTCTCTGCTCTGGATCACCCCCTCCATTTCCCTTTGTTCATCTCATTCTTGGACACTGTTGAGGATACCACAATTTACCTACTGCAAGACTCGATAATTTTCATACCATTACCCCTATTGATCCAACTCAAGATATTTTTGCACCACCCCTACCATCCTGTTTGGAAACCCTACCCATCCCAATTGCTTCCGATGACCTCCTACCCCCTTCCACACGCGGAGGCCATGGGAAAGCCAACGCGGCAGCCGGCGGAGGGGAAGGGGAAGGGAAAGGGGAAGGAGAGCGAGAACGAGGAGATGGGTAAGAAGATCAATCATGCTCGTGAACAGCTTGTGCTCCGTCACCTTGTTCGTGATGTCTGGTTGCCTGTTTATGTTAACACCTCGAAAGAATGCTAGTCGGCTGTCAATGAAGTGAAGGCAGCGAAGTGAAGCTTCTCTTTATCGTTTGCTGTCATGTTGCTGGCTGCAATTGTGTCAATTGATGATCATCTTGAGCGTGAGAGGAAATCATGTGACTTGCTCTGATCCCACCATCCCAGTGAAGAGCGTCTATCCCGGGGATACAGCCACGACAAAAGGATTCCTCGACGATGCAGTTGTACAGGTATGCTGCTCCTGATTCCGTCAACCCGTGTCTATGTCGTCTTCCTGTTCTGCTCATGCTGCTTTCTCCTCTTGGGAGCAGGCGCTGACTTTCCTGCAGTCATTCGAAGACGCAGGGTTCGGCGAAGATCACTTCCTCAGCAACGTCAAGCTCTCCATGGGAGCCCTTGCCTGCATTTTCGCGCTCATCGCTCAATTCTGGCCGAATCCTTTCAAGCCCATGCCGTTCCCTGAGAGCAGGCCCCTGCTCCTCGTCTGCACCGTCCTCTACGCACTCCTGTCGTTTGCCCTGCAGATGATCATGACATTCTACGAGCAGGACGCTATCCTGTACACGCTTCCCCCCAACGAGACCAGCCCTTTCTGGAACTCACTGCAGAAGAAGAGGGTGAAGGTCTCGACCAGGCTGCCTCGCTTCTCCATCAACTACACGGTGACGCTGGAAGTCAAGGACGGGAGCGGGCAAGTCGTGGATACGCACAAGGCCGTGCTGAAGCTGACGGACTACTTCGAGGAGAACGGGACGTTCCATGAGGACTTCTTCATGGAGGACATCGAGGCGCTGATCTCGGCTCTTGCTGCCAAGAAGACGCAATAGAAGGGAGGGGAGGGGGTTTGTGAGGGCTTCTTGAATGAAAAAAGGTTGATTGAGCACGCGTTGCCCTGGCGGGGTATTGTCTTGTGGGATGAGAGCGAAGATGGATAGAGATAATGATAGTCTAATGATGATGATGATGATGAGGAGGAGGAGGAGGAGGGAGGAGGAGGAGGAGGAGGAGGAGGAGGAGGAGGAGGGAGGAGGAGGAGGAGGAGAGAGAGAGAGG